TGCTACAGATTTCTCCTCCTCAGGAGCAGAAGTGAACAGCTACCAGTTCTGGACACACTGCGGGCACAAGACCTAAGAAGTGAGACCACCCTACCTTGGGTAACACTGCAACCCTGTATCTCCTTCTGCGGAGAGCAGGCCCCTGGAGAATTCTTGAAGAGGGGTTGGCACTGCCCAGCTGGAGTGTGAGGCTGCTGCCTGGTGCTGCTGCCCTGAGAGGCACCGGGCTCGATCAGTCTTCACCGTGGGTGACCCGGACTCCGACTCCAGCAGCTAAAAAAGCCGAGAAGCCTTTCTACGCCCTTTGTCATGTCTTTTCTGATATGTTAAAAAAAAAAATCAAAACAAGCCAAGGTGGTGGGGCTTCAGTGGGTGAAGACACCTGCACTAACTTACAAAAGGTTTTCCTTCTCATTAACCATAGGAGAATAGACGGAAATGCCAGTATTTTCTCAGCTCGGCTAGCATATCACATAACTGGTTCACCATTCAGGTTCCCAATAACCCGAAAATCTCTCCACATTGGAGCACAACTCTCATGGATTTGTCAGCATTCCTCATGCCACACCTTAAAAAAAAAAAAAAAAAAAGATACCTCTGTGCTTAGGTGTGGTTTTGTTAAGGGGAAGGATGTCCTAAAGGAACTCTGCAGTCTTATGGACTCCACCCCCCTACTCCAGCTTTCTAGGCACTATCCCCTACTCCAGTGATTAGAAATTACAACTCCCAGCAGTACCAAGGAGAGAACTGCGAGGACTCAAGGGCGGAGCTAGCAGGAATTCTGGGACATTTGGGGGATAAATAAGGCTCGATTGCATCTCTCCCTCGCTCTCTCTCGCTCTCTGGCTCAGGAAGCAGCTCTCCTGTCTCCGTGACTCGGTGTGTTCAGTCAGCCACGCCGGTAAGGTATTCCAGTTCCTTTGTATCCTGCTCTCTTTCCCTGGGTTGTTTCCTATTCCTTTCCCCTTTTGTAAATAAACCCCTTATTGACTCTTTTGTGTATTTTTTGTGTAAAGCCCCACAGTCAGGGGCCCAGTCCACTCTGGTCTACCCTGTAACAGTTTCAGGTTACTTGGGAGTATGTACTGATTTCTAGGGAAAACTGTCGGTCATCTAAGGTTTGGAGGTGCCTTGTGAGTTAGCAACATCGAGACCTGAGGTTGCCGCAGTAGATGCTTACAGAATAAAGGCATACCGAAAAAGTCCTTAGGTAAGAAGCATCCAGCCTAACACAGAAGTTAAGGCTTTTGGCAAGTGCCACCCTCTGGCTCCGAGGGAAGCTCAGTGCGTAAGTCAGATGCGGCCTCTATACACTGGGACTGGGGAGCCCTGAGTTCTATTCAACAGCAGTGCCCTGGGTTGGAGGCCTATTCCACTGGGATCTCTGGCCATCCCACATCTTAGCTCCTTCCTCTACAGTTAAGAGACAAACATGGTCTCCTTGTGTGGGTCTGAGCCTCTGTCTACCAGTTTTCACATTTTAGCTGGTAATCTTAACATTGAATTGGCTGGAGGGGAAAGAGCATCTGAAACCAAAAACATGGAAGAGAAACACCGGCAGGGTTGGAAAATACATTCTTGCAGAGCAAGTATGTAACCTTCTCTCTGATGGAAAACACACACAGCCAGGAGAAACACTTCTGGAAGTCATTCACAGAGCAGATGGTAGACGTGGGCTGGGTGAGGGTAGCCCACAGAACCTCCCAGGTGCTCCCCAGCCCACCCATGCCCAGTCACCATGTGAAAGTTATTCAACTAGGACCAGAAAACACTGAAAAAACTCAAGAGGGAAGTGTGTGTGGAATGAGAGAGTGAGTGGCATGCCATTGGGGGCAAAAAGTCACAACTCACATTATCATTGATTAATTGAGTGATTTTAGTCAAATGAATATTGATACATGGCAGAAAAAGCATGAAAATAAAATGAACACATACGGGAATTACTATTAACATAAGTGATAACATCAAAACATCTGGTAAAATGCAGTTAAAAAGACACAAATGAAATGGAATGTCAAACATTTTCACAGTATTCAAAGCGCTACATGAGGAGTTAGAGGAAACAGGTCCTCTCTCTGCTGGTGACAGGTCAGAAGGCCTAGTACACGTGTCCGTGGGGGCTGTCTAGGGTGCACTTCTAGAACAGACCAGAGGAGCCACCACCACTCGGAAGCTATGAGCAGCTAGTTCTGTGCAGTCTGATGAGAGAAACAGACGCTAGCTTTGGGCAGTGGGGTTTCCATGATTACAGATCCAAATGAAAATTG